CGTAGGCAGAGAAATCAGCTATAACGCCAGCACTCTCCTTCTAAATTCCCTCCAGCGTAACGTACTCATGGACACAGCTGGTGGTGTACCGAAGCTGGCGTCTGTCGTTATAACATGCGATGCTGCCTGCCTTCCTCCCTCTGTAGACTGATTACCTCCATCTCTTTCCCTTGCGTAGGTTTCCTCTGCCTACGATATTGCCTTGGGATCACATAATCCTCATTGAAGATACCAGCTTGTAGCCTCGCCAGTGGACTCGCCAGTGGACTCACCAGTGGACTCACCAGTGGACTCACCAGTGGACCCTTCTGGTGCTCCAATGTCGTTCGATCAGCCCAGAGTGGCTCGTAGTAGGCGTGAAGATGGCCCTCATGTCATTGGGAGGGAAGCTCTTCACTGCCAATAGAGCCCACCAGGCCATCATTTAAAGCATTTCAAGACACACCAGCATTGCGCCAATGGCCAGCACATGCTATTGAATACCCTCCACTCCGTATCACATTGAGAAGGCAGCACGACTGAAGAAGTAGGCCAATGATGGTGTTGATAAGTGTGCTAAGCATCAACATTGGAACCGGGTTCCCAGTGATAATAAATACATGTAAATGAACGGTTAAATAAATATATATACAGCGTCATGAATGCAAGAAAGCAGCATTCTGGTACAGCTCCAACATCAAGTTTTCACCGTTCTTGGTCCTTGTTGCTTCAACATCGCCCCAAGTATTGAGGAACTCCTCGTGCTTGGTAGTTTCAACAAGTTTCCCTGTCATTTGAACGTAGATGTCCTTGGAAACCTTGAAGTCCGTTGGGAACATGATATCGAAGTACCCCTGGTGAACCATGAAGGTAGATGCAGTCGCCATCTTCGAGTCAAGCATGGTTTGAACCACTGGAGCATTGAAGCCTCTTGAAGTTTCAGAGAGGGAGTCAAAGTCTGCCAGCAGTAGTTGATGCTCCGGGAAAAACGTTGACAGCACGTTAAATAGTTTCAAGAGACTTGTTGGCACGAATTCAGACTCTGTCAATGAGTTCTTAAACGGTGAAAGGTAGTTTTGCAACTTTGGAATCACAGGTAATGAGTTCAACGGGTGTATTTGTTCATCGTTCAAAAGCATCTTCCAAGGCGAAGACTGTAAATGGTGGTTACCTCTCAATTCGAGGTAAAGCTTTGTCCATTCCTCCAGCTCATCGGTAAAGAACTGGTGGAAGTCACCCTTTGCATCGATAACAACATAGCCCTGGTACGGTTTACCCGTATGGACGTCATACTTGACGACATCATGGGACAAGTTATCCAGCACTTCCATTCCAATGACAAAACAAGGCTCAGGGACAACCTCATCCCAGTCCAGTATGGACTTGTTGATGATCTGAACGGCATCTGGAGAGTGTCCCTTTGAACTCAGCTTCCTGTGCAATGATCTCAGCTTCTGCTTCTCACTCAACGGCTTGGTGATCTCGATGATCCGGTACTTGGTACGCGAATACACGTCTGGGTCGTTCTTCTTGATATAATCCAGGATGTTCATCATGAGGGTACCGTTACCACCACCGATTTCGTAGATTATGAGGTCTGCGTACGGGTACAAGTTCAGCTTGTAGTTCACAAGGAGGTAGCGCGCAATGGCCTCACCGTAGAAGGGCTGGAACAACTCCGTCGGCGTGTGCCAGAGCTGAAGCTGGGCACCATTACCAGAGTACCGAGAGTATTGCTCCTGCCATTTGTCCATGAACTCGTCGCTGTCTTTCAGCTTTGAGTAGTCAAACGGCTTCTCCGTCTGGAAGATCTCGGCCTGTGTAGGGAAGTACCCGTAGTTCGGGTTATACAGCGAGTCCTCGATGAAATCAGACGCAAGCATCTTCACCTTGGTTGGTCTCTGATCGTTCTTCTTCAGCCTATGCGAGTTGGTCAACGGGAAGGAGTCGAAGAACTGCGACGGGGTGCTCTTGTCCAACGGGTGTGTTGACAAGTTCGAAAACACCGGTGTAAATGGGGAAAACGGTGATAGAACACAGTCATACGGGTAGTCCCTGGAGGGAAGCCTGTAATTGAACGTTGTCGGCGTCACAGAGAAGTCGTGTTTAGTGGACAAGCACCTTCTCAACACCAACGGCCTCATTGTTCGCTTCTATTGCCTTATGTCTCCAGCCAAATGGCGTGCGGAGGTGAGCGATGGAAACAGCCAGGCAGAAAAGCGCTCCCGCCTAGGCAGGCCCGCTAGGCAAGCCCGCTAGGCCCGCAGGCCCGCGAAAAGAAAACTTTTCCCCAAGAGGGAGCAAACCGATGGTGATGAGCTGAGCTACCACGAGGACAAACACAGCGCGGTTGATCCAGTAAACACAGCGGTTAGCTCAGTAAACACAGCGGTTAGCTCAGTAAACACAGCGGTTGACTTCAGGATGGGTGTTCCAGCGTTGTTCAGATGGCTTTCACGGAAGTATCCGAAGATCATCTCGCCAGTGATTGAAGAGCCACATGAGGTTGTTGATGGGGTTGTTGTCCCGCCAAAGTACGCCAACAGGAACCCGAACGGTGAGCTCGACAACTTGTACTTGGATATGAATGGTATTGTGCACCCTTGTTCACATCCTGAGAACAAGCCTCCGCCGGAGACGGAGGACGAGATGCTGCTAGCGGTGTTCGAGTATACGGACCGTGTGGTTAACATGGCTAGGCCGAGAAGAGTGTTGATGATTGCCGTGGACGGTGTTGCACCAAGAGCCAAGATGAACCAGCAGAGAGCCAGACGGTTCAGAAGTGCGAAGGACGCACAGATCCAGGATGAGGAACGGGAGCGACTCGCTGCGGAAAGGGAGAAGTTGCTGGGCCAGCTGATTGATGACAGCGTCAAGCAGAAGAAGACGTGGGACTCCAACGCCATCACCCCTGGTACGCCGTTCATGGATAAGCTGGCGTTGGCACTGAGATACTGGACAGCGTACAAGCTCGCCAATGACCCGGGCTGGAAAGATCTACAGATCATCATCAGTGACGCCACGGTGCCAGGTGAAGGTGAGCATAAGATCATGAACTTCATCAGGTCGCAGAGATCAGACGCTGAGTATAACCCAAACACTAGACATGCCATCTATGGTTTGGATGCAGACCTGATCTTCTTAGGGTTGGCGACCCATGAACCTCATTTCAGAGTGTTGAGAGAGGATGTGTTTGCTCAGGATAATAGAGGTTTGAGCATGAGAGACCATATGAACATGACAGACGAGCAAAGAGAGAGGCTGAAGGAGCAAGACGCTAAGAAACCGTTCTTATGGCTTAACATCAATGTTCTGAGAGAGTATCTCCAAGTCGAGCTGAATGTTCCACGCTTGCCTTTCAAGTTTGACTTAGAACGAGCCATTGACGATTGGGTGTTCATGTGTTTCTTCTGTGGTAACGATTTCTTACCCCATTTGCCCTCGCTGGATGTTAGAGATAACTCCATTGATTTGCTGGTTACTTTATGGAAACAACAATTGCCTAGAATGAAGAGTTATATCACATGTGATGGTACCTTGGACCTTGAGAACGTTGAAACTTTGATGAGTGCGTTGGCACCAAGGGAGGATAACATCTTTAGACAGAGGAAGGAGCAGGAAGATCGTCGTAACAACAGGTACAATGGTAAGAATGACAAGAGAAGAAAATTCGCCGATGAAACTGTACAGGCTCAGAATCAGATGTTGGCGAATGTAACCAAGGGTAAAACGGATAAAGGAACTTTTACACCAACTGATACGATCCCATTGTTCGACGTTGATGGTAATTCAGTGGGTAAAGTGAATTTGACTAATAAGGATCTGGTCCATATGCAGAAACAAGTCAACTTGGCTGGTATGGGCGATGAAGATGCAAAACAACAATTGTTGGATGCATCGCACGATAAAGAGGTGAAAACTGAAGATATCAACGACGCCAACAAGGCCAATCTTAGTGCAGCAGCAGCTTTGAGACAGAAGTTGTTACAGGGTAAATCAACTCCGCAAGATTCGACTCCAACACCATCTCCTGCTCCTGTGATTGGTGACAAGAGAAGCACGCCTTCTCCTGATACAAATGAGGATGAGGATCAAGTGAGACTATTTGAGCCTGGGTACAGATCTCGTTATTACAGAGTCAAATTCCACTGTACTGAGGATGAAGTTGATGACTTGCGCCGTGAAGTTGTTAAGCACTATATCGAGGGTATTTCTTGGGTGCTACTCTACTACTACCAAGGGTGTCCATCTTGGAATTGGTATTATCCATACCACTATGCACCATTTGCTTCAGATTTCGTCAATATTAAGGATGTAACAGTCTCATTTGTTCAAGGAGAACCGTTCTTACCTTATGAACAATTGATGTCAGTTTTACCTGCTGCATCAGGTCATAACTTACCACCTATTTTCAGACCTTTGATGAGTGATGCTGATTCTCCAATTATCGATTTTTACCCTGAAGATTTCCCGATTGATATGAATGGTAAGAAAATGTCATGGCAGGGAATTGTGCTGCTGCCATTCATCGATGAGAAGAGACTCTTAGAGGTTGTCAAGGCACAGTATCCTAAACTTACTGATGCAGAAAAGTCCAGAAACGTTCGTAAACAAGAAGTCTTGTTTATCTCTAAGGACAATGCAAACTACAAGAAGTTTATCAAGTTGTACGAAGATAAGGAGTTGAGTATTATTGATTTCCATTTCCATAAGGCACGTTTGGCTGGTATAGTATCAGCAAATGACAAGTTTGAACTCGGTTCTGTGCTGGAGTGTCCTATTGTTGGGGAACACGAATTCCGTGGTGTTCCGACAGATTCGTTTTTGAAGTTGAACTACGAGATGCCAGTGAAGAGACACGGGAAGTCTATTATTCTTACTGGGTATATTAAACATAGACCTGTTTTGACGCAAGAGGACAGGGATGGTATAATCTATGGGAACGGGCGTGGACGTTATGGACGCAACAACTACAACACGAAGGTCGATGGCAACGTCATTGAGGTTGGTCCATACGGTGATAGCTGTTACGACATGAGGTTTGGAGGCTTCAAGAGTTTTTTGTCTCTTGCAAAGAGGCACGCAGAGGAAGTCCAACAGCAGCATAGGGTGAGAGATTTCATGTCACACAGAAGTGGACACCTGCCACCTCCTTCTAGAGGGGGATACCTGAGAAGATAGCTGTTAAAAATAGACCTGTTATGAGTACGTATTCTAGTTTTATACCCATTTCTGCCTGGTTGGGGATATGTAGGCAGTGCATGGGAGCGTTGGTGGCATGACACTACTTAGGTAATCTGCACGCTACCCTGACCTAAAGCTCGTAATTTATTAGATGCAACGGTGGAGCTGGATGAGGAGATAATGCTTCCAGAGGATCTATCCAACGGCTGTGGATGAGATGGAATAATGTTGCTAAGCAATCGGATTTATCAACTGCCGTATCCTTTGTAGAAATCATTTTACGCGTTTTTGAACAGATTGCCGTATTGGGTAATGAAATTAAGACTCGTCGACCCGGTTACTACACATTTTGAACTTGCGCAAGGGGACTTTTTCGCCAAAAAGTAGGGCAAAGGTAAGGACAAGAACACACAGAGATAGAGACGCTTACCGGTTGAACTCCATGTTGCATGAAAGGTCTGGACTTTTCAGCTTCCAGACACACACTTAAATCCATCTGTCGCTTATTTCCCAAACTTAATTCCGTGGTGTTTAATCTCTAGATTTATCAAAATGGTTGGCGAAAAGTCTAGACCCAAAAGGGAAATAGTGCATGCGTAGCAGCAAATGCGTAATTTGCGGCACGGGGGGGGGGGCTCGTAAAGATTCCGTTAAGTGTGTGCGAAAAAAGAAAACAGGAAAAAAGTCCAGTACATAAAATCGAGACTTTTTACGAGAGAGTCTAAAAAAATGTCGTCAGACACCACACAATAATAAACACAACAACAACGACAACGACAACAGAAGCGTCGCAAAAGCTTTCGTAGTTGATAGAAAACCGAAACAACAAAAAAAACCAAACCGAAAAATAGGGGACAAAACCACAAAAACACACACGCGGAAAAAAATCAACATCCATAAAGGCTGACAAAAAAGTCTAAAAAATAGGAGGGCAAAGCGCTCATACAAACAGAAAACATAAAGGACAAATAGGCGAAAGGAATTCTAAAGGCTAAAAAAAGGAGACAAATTTGCGACAACTCGGAAAAGAGCACAGACAGCTACAGTCAAATCATCATGGAAAGACAGAATTCGTACCATGGGAAGACACGCCCATTCTCATCAAACAATCCCTTTAGAAACGCGTCCGCCGACTCGTTTGCTGCGAAGGGAGGCGACACCGCCTTTCAACGCTGGGTTCAAACCAACCAGAGCGCAATGTCCTTCAGCAGCGACGACGAGGAGGAGGCCCTGAATGGCCTGAGACCACCTCGTCCTGTGAGTGGCAGAGACGGGTCGAGAAGCGAGTCCTCAACGAGATCTTCGTCTGACCATTCCTCGCGCAACGGCAGCGCCAGTGCCATTGGAGGCAGACGTGGTGGCCAGGACGATGCCCTGCCACCGAGCTATGAGGAGGTTGCCGGTAGCAGAGCAGGCAGTGGATACCCTCGCGAGAAGGAAGGACAGTACGCGCAGACAACGCAGCACAGAACAAGGGTCCACAAGGAGTGGCCAGGTGATGGCAAGAGAGACCGTGAACGTGAGACCAGACCTCACAGAGAGCACTCCTCCTCGTCGAGGGATCACAGAAAGGAGAGATCCTCCCATCACCACCATAGGGAGAGATCTGATAGCCATAGGGATAGAGAGAGATCGCACAGGTCACGTGACAAGAAGTCCAAGAAGAAGGAGGTTGTTCCACCAAAGAACGTCGATACCATTGACAAGCTGGACGTGACGAGTGTGTTTGGAGGTGCATTCCATCACGATGGTCCCTTCGATGCGTGCACGCCGCATAGAAACAAGAACCAGAAGTCTGCTCCTGTGCTGGCATTCCCGGCTGATGGTCCGAACAACTCGATACGAGGAGTAGGTGCCGTCAACAAGGATGCTACGCTGAACTACATTCAAGGACGTCGTGAAGACGAGGATGACGATCTGTACACCACGAGCGTTGCCTCGCAGAACTACTCGAGAACGTATAAGAACGACTCCCAGTCCACGCTTGCAGCCGTCAAGCCTGGCACTGATATCACACAGTTTGATGCTAATATGAAGGCTGAGCCAGTCCATGGACAAACCACGCTTGGCCTGGGCTCGTCGACGTTCCTGGACGGTGCTCCAGTGGCTGCAAAGACCTTGGAGGAGGAGCAGAGCAAGCAGTATCAATCACTCGGCAGAAAGAAGTCGCTAAAGCAGAGAATCACAGGAGATGCCCCTCCAGCTGGCACCAACGGCCAACGAGACGAGGATAAAGAGTCCAATTCTCTGCTGAAGAGGGTGAAGAGCTTGAAGGTTGGCAGAAAGTAGCCCCACGTTTCGAGACTAGAGAATGGATGAGGTGAAAAGGTTTAAGGACTAGTTACAAGAGAAGTGCTGCTTCTCTTCTCAATTGTTTGGTATTGTTCGACTGCTTGTTCGTGTGTTGTATACGTTTGATATTTTGATTTGCCGTGTTTGTTGTTCTGTTGTTGTGTTTTGACATATATGTAGCGTTGGTTTCCTATATACGATCTGTCTATGCTGTTGATAGCTTGTCCAACGACTGCTGTAGCTCTTTGACGAACTCCTCATCTTCCTCTTCCATCCAATTGGCCTGATCTTCCCAATGCGACGTTTCCCTGCTCAGCTCCTCCAATGGCCACCCTTCTCGCTGTGCTTTCCTTCTCAGCTTGTCCAGCTGTACCGGGTATCCCATCTCCACCAGCTTATCGTACCAAAACTGCGAGTTCTCGCTGTCCTTGAACACCAGGGCACTCAGCATGTTGAAGTCCACTGGCACCTTGTACCTGGACATTATCTGGCTCATCTGATCGAATACTGAGCATTGGTCCTTCATCATGCCGTGGTGATAGAACACATAGGTGATGAGCTTCTTGTTGAACCTCACCACCGGCAGATCGACTCTGTTGATGAACTGCTTCAGCATATAGAATGCCAGCCCGGGGTTTCTGATCCTGATAGAGTGCTTGATGAACAGCTCCAGCACTCCCGTATCCAGCTTAGACTTCCTGAATGGACTCGCTGGATCATCAAAGCACTCCACCACCCTGCTCATGTACCTTTTGAACAGCAGCGACAGGTTGTACGAGGTGTCTGTGCTGTGATGAGCCATGTGGTTCAGCACAGCAGCGTACAACTCGGTCACGTTCTCGTTCGAAGGGTTTGGAACCCTGTAGAACTCATTCACAGAGGCCTGTGCCACTTCATACCCTTCAGGTAAACGTCTGACAGTCTTGAGGTATACAACACCACTGAGGCCCAGCAGGTTCAGCTCCCTGGACCAATGAGGGAAGATCTCGACAAAGTGGGCCAGCACCACCTTGGCCTCACGTGGGAACTCATCACGTATCACTCTCAGCAGCTCATTGATCAGTATGCTCTTCACCTTCAGCGGACAGTCCTCCAAGATGGACGGGATGCTTCTCAGCACAACAAGGATGGCGTTGTACTGTTTCTTGTGCCTTAGCGAGGTCACGATGATGGTGAACAGCTTGGGCGTGATTGTGATGCCCTTCTCACTCATCTGCTCGAGGACCTTCAGCGCATACTTGTAGTGGCCATGCTTGATGGTCAGGTACGAGATCGTCTCGTACAGCTTGGAGTCTTCGTCTGGCGACGACGAGCGTAGCTCCGTGTTCAGCTGGTACTTGGATATCAGCAATTCCAGGTACTTGTTAGCCAACATTGGCTCGTTCAGCTGGATGTACCTCACCACGATCTGGTTGATCATGTCGAAGGAATACGCAGTGAGGAACTTCAAACGAAGTGTCTCGTCGTCGCTGAGCATTGGAGAGAACTCGTACAGCGAGCGATCCTGCTCAGACCCCTTCCTCAGCGTGTTTCTCAGCTTGCTATACTGTGACGTTGTGATGTCGACGTCTGCGCTCAGCAGCGTAGTGTATAGCTCTCTACAGTGGCCTGTAGAGAGAGCCAGTGAAACCAGAGGCTCTGTCGAGTGCCTTGACAGCTTCAAGGGCCCGTCCAGCTTCTTCTCGCGGTAGAGCTGGGTGATGTCTTTCAGCCTGGCCAGCATTGTATTGTACTTTGCCTCGTCGTCGCCATCATCGCCATGCTGCTCGGGCAGCTCAGCCAGTGAAACCAGCTGTTTTGAAGCCAGCTTCGAGAACAGCTTCGAGCTCTTGTCCAGCGAGTGCAGTAGCTGCCACTCATCACCTCTCGTGTGCGCAGCTGGCACACACGATGAGTGTGTGTCTCTCTGCGCAATGACCGTGGAGATGTGTCTCTTGAAGAGGACTCTCCTTATGAACATCCTCAGCACCGCTTGAGTAGCCGTATTTGGTATCGTTCGAATCCTTGAGACCTGAGGAATCGTGATAGCGCAACTCCGTGTAACGATTTCCTCCTAGTTCAGGAACACTGCGGTGGAGTATTAATTGTTGTCGTGCGAGAGAGGGTGGCATCTCTCCATCAACACATTTTTTTTTCACGGCCCCGAGGATCCCATAACTTCACCATCAAATCCCCATAGTTAAGCAGTGAACCTGTGTTGAAGACACGATGATATACCCAATTGTCCACTTCCTAACAGGTTCATTTGTGTTTTATGGGTCGTACTACTATGGCTGGGTCCATATAATCACCCTGTTCGAGCAGCTCCAGACCAGCTCCAAGGTCTTGCAGACAGCATCGACTCAGAACTTGTTTGCCCTCTTCAACGAGGAGGAGTCCACGGATGCTGAGACCGGCTATAGCCGGTGGTATTCTGTCGTGAAGTGCTGTCGATGGGTGTCGCGGGTGGCGTTCTCGATGACGATCAGCTGTTCCGTGGTTATCATACAGTTCATACTCTGGCAGTTCCAACATGACGGTGACATACCAGCACTTGATCTCCATCTCTGGAACTGGAACCTCGCTGCCCTGATTATTGTTCTCGTGCTGATCCAGCCCTTGACGGTGTGTGTACTGCTATTTGACAGGCTGCTTCGTGGATCCTCGGTGGCCCGAAAGCTCAGTGCCTGTGCACTGACGTTGTACAGCTGGCTCATATTCGCATCAAGGAGCTATAGATTCACTGACCTTGACGTTGTTGACGGCAGCAGCTTGCTGTCCTACTACACACAGTGTATCTCCATCATGGGCGTGACGCTGATGGGTGTGCTGAACGGAGTCGGCTCGTACTCAACAGTGTATTACTATCTGTACAAGGGAGTCACTCCCACAGATGAGCTCAACGAAGAGGCCAAGAGACTAAGAATCGAGCAACTACAGAGCTCTATAGTGAAGACAGAAGACATGATACGGAAATTGCCCACAGGTGATGACAATGTGAGCCATCGGAACGCTTACAGAGCCAAGAGCTCGTTTCTAGACTTGACGATGCTATCATCATCATCATCATCATCACCTGTGTCATCAACAAAGCAGGAGCTCCAATCATTGACCAAGTTGAAGAACGAGCTGTACTCCAAGCTGATGAGGGTGCAGACGTCGCTGAACACATCATCCAATAAGATCTTCTTGACCCTGAACAGGGTGATTGGCGTGTATTGTCTCTTCAAGATCCTACAAGTCACCGTGATCCACATCCTACAGTTTATACATTCGAACGATATCAACTCGTCAAATTCAGACCCCTTGGTCGTTACATTGGCACACATCTTCGAGCTGTTCGTCAACCAGGACGAGGAGTTCTTGGTCAATCAGCTGAGCTTCATCATCTCAGGTGCGTTGTTCGTGCTATCGTTCAACGGTGTGTTCCTGACGCTTACTCACATGTACAGGTTCCTGCCAATCGATGTCACCTCATTGCAGAGGTCGAAGAAGTCTGTGAGCGTGATAAAGAACTTGATATTGAGTGAGTTGCTGGGCACCTACGTGCTGGCAACGTTACTGATCCTCAAATCAAACCTTTCCACCACGTATTCCCAAAGCTTGGGCTCACTGACCATGACACAAGGCGTGGACATCGCCATGGTGGACAATTGGTTCAACAAGGTCTACTTGTTGAGTGTTGTCATCACTGGGGTGTTGATCAAGATTGGAGAGACCTGGCTGGACGACGACGGCTTCGAAAATGACTCTATAGCATCAAAGATTGTATGACTTAGTTCTAGATTTGTTTATTCACACAGTACTATAGATGACAGTGTTACAACTGTGGCACGATTCTAGCACTTTGGAACCAGATTCTGGCGGCTGAGCCTGATCCAATTAGCGTCTTAACCAGTGGTCTTTCGCTAGCGTCGCCTCTGCCATCGCCTCTCTCTTCACCGTTGGCATCGAACTTCTTCGCATCGCCAAACCTGTCAGAGTACTTGTTCCAGATGTCCTGGGAGATTCTATGGGCTTCGAACATCTGGAAATACAGGCCATCTTCAGGGTCATAGAGGTAGTCCTGGAAGAATTGTAAGTGACGGCCAATCTCCATGCGGATCGCACCGCTTGTAGACTGTGGAGCAGAGTCTCCAAACACCAGCAGATAGTCAGCCAGCCCCTCGATCAACAACTGGATGAAGTACGAAGGATCACGCCAATAACGGAGCTCATGGTCGTTATAATCACGGCAGAACAAGGATCTGTTGCGGTCAGTTGCAGCTGCAGCAAACTCATTGGCCAGTTGTTTCCACTTGTCATTCTTGGTGAACTCGTAGATCAGGGAGCAGCAGGACAGGACAACACCGGTGTTGTATGTCCACTTCATGCCGTTGGCACTGTCACCATTCTTGTCGATACCATCCAGCACCAGGTGATCGCTCTTGTCAAACAGCTTGTCGAGGATGTAGTCGATGCACTTGATGGAGAACTTCACCAGCCTCTCACGCTCATTGGGCACGTACTTGGCCAACCTCAACGCTGCCTGAGCAGTCTCACTCGTCGAGATGGCGGCGATGTATGGCTTGTCTCTGTGCCACAGCACACCGCCATTGTTCTTACACTGAGGGTCGTCGTTCCAACCACCAAGCAGGTATCTCACCAGCTCACGGCCATTGTCCAGGTACTGCTTATCGCCAGTAACCTCATAAGCAGAGACAAGCAAGCTTGCCACCTGGGCATCGTCGTCGTAATAGATGTCACCGTTGCCTTCAAAGTTCTCAGCAGCACAGTACCCCTTCCATTTGGGAGACTTGTACTTGTAGATGGCCTCCATCACCGGCTTGATCAACGGACCCAGCTCGTTAGGATACAACCGTGCACCATCAACTATCGCCTGCGCAGCAATTGACATGCTCCAAACGTTGAAGCGGCCTTCATCGTTATAAGTACCGGAGCACTTTGGCTTGGGTGATATAAACGTCTTCTGGTGGTCGTTCCAGAACCTCTGCCACATCAATCTCGTGACGTTATAGCCTTCCAATGCTGGGTTTTCCACTGGCATTCTCTTCTTGGATTGTGGTTCTATCTCTGTTGAGCAGGACTTGATTGCTGTGGAAGTGTTGATGCCTTTTTATAGTGCAACCGGGGTTATTCACCACGTTGCTGTGGTTGTTTTGCGAGCTTGCCAGATTTAGGTAGCAAGCGAGCGCGCATGACGTCATATTTGTCGGAATCCACAAAGCTGGAGAATTGCGATGGGGAAGCACCCGGACACCATTACATCCGGACACCCAAACACCCAGACACCGTTATAGTGGTCTACATGGTGTGTATATGGGCGAATTCCGGGGTAATCAATGCTCAATATCAATGCACAATGGTATGCTCTGAGTGGTTTGCCGTGGCAAACCACGTATTGATGGCTTGGGTAAACCTGGATTTGTAGCTGTTCCGGAATGTAAAGAGATCTAGGGGCTCAAAGCACTAATAACAGGCCCAGAATAGCACCCAGGGAAGCAATGAAGCCTCACAGATGCTGAGCCTTCAAGTGCTGTTAGCGATACCAAGGTGGTGTTAGTACTTGAATCCGAGGCAGGACTTTTACCAGTATGAACAGTACGATAGTGTCAGCAGGAAACCTCGATGTAACACCACCAGCGTGACAAGTAGGCTTGAAAGTAACCGTGGAGCGACTCTCGCTAGTTGCATTAGCTAAAACTACATAGTGTTGGCTTCGGTGACTTGAGTAGATTCCCTCCATTGCTGTTTATACCGAGTACGCCTTTCACAGTAATTGCGAACGTTGCACTAGATTTCAGTCCATGAGCTCTTCAGCTTTAGGGGGAGGAGGTTTGTACATTGCACCCTGCTGTCCAAGTCAAGAAGAGCGTAAGCATAGTGTGATGTCTAGACTGAGGCCTTGATTATGAGACCAAGGAGTGCTTGATATTGGGTCCAATTGATCCATCCATGTTCAAGTTTCACACCTGTTACAAGGCTTGATACTATGGATTTCTTGAGTACTCTCTAAGCGAATATTCACTATATGTCCATTCCACCACCTCTCACTTTGGTTAGCGTATAACACGAGGATGGTAGAGATTGAGCTTGAAACTATGGCCAAGGAGTGAGGTCAAGACATTGCTCTGATGACACACAACACCAGCGATCTACCTCATGATCTTGGTGAAATTCCTACAAGTTTTGTAGATTATTATGCTATTTACAAAAAAGTAATAATCTATCTATGTACATATAATAAAGCACAAGTGTCTTATACGAGTTTCACCTTATTGCTACCGTCACCAGGTAATCTGCTTAGAACAACGTCCCAGTCGATACATCTCCACACCTGCTCCAAGTACTCTTTCTTGCCGAATACACCGTAGTCTTGCAACCAGACCTTTGGACTTGCATCTATGCATAATAATGGATGGTAGGTTTGTCCAATCACTTCAGTCTTTCTCTGAGCCTCCTCAACAGTTGGGTAAACCCTCTGTGTCAGCTTTTGCTCCTTGTTCTCCAACGAATAGTTTGTCAATTGACCGAAACGGCAGTTATTCTCTGGAACTCCAGCGTTATACGTGTTCAACACAGCCAATGAGCTGTACATGAAGCCAGGGTTCTTGGATTTTGTTAGCGAATCTGCTTCGACGGCAACAAGCCATGTGAAGCCGTCACCATTGATGGCGTTGGCACTCTCCAACAATAACGTCTTCAGCTCTAATAAGGAACCAAACGACTGTGAAATGACCTTCTCAAACTTGGCGTTCGCAGGTGGGTGGTTGTCGAACTCCAATGAGACGGATGGCGTCTTCATCATGTCCGCTGCGGTCAATCTCTTTGGAATCGTAACTTGTTCCCCTCTAGCAACACCCAAGGAACTCATCGCAAAGGAGACGTTTCTCAACAATGACGCATTGTTGAAGATGTCCTTCTTCGTAGCGCTCTTGGCGTTCGAGATCACCAGCGTATCCAGATCAACAGGCTGGATGGAGTGCTTAGCAACCGCTCTGTTCAGCTTGTTGCTCAGCCCAACACATCTCGACACGTAGCCCTGTTGGAATGCCTCCTGCGACAACAGGCCCTTGATGCCCTCCTGTTTGAAAGCCTCCAACGACGGAAACTTCGGAACTCCATAGTGAGGTGTTACCGTGGATTGGTGTCTCACCAGTTTCAGCGACGATTTCAACATTTTAGACCCAATAAACTGCGAGTAGTGGTTACCGCTCGGTGTTGATGATGTTCAATTGGAAGCTTTCCCGGGCATTAAATTCCTCGAGGAGCTGTGAAAAAAAAGCTAACAAAAACATAACACAAAAACCCGTTCTGAAATTTACGCCGAGATACATACAAACGCCATGCTGGTAATTACTGCGAGCGTCTGTTTTAGGAGAATTGCCGAATGCGGCCATTTAGCGAGACATTTTCCTTATCAGCAATGCGGCGCGTACCACTTTGCTGCACAGGGGGATTAAGCCGACGATTTTCAATGGGAAGGGGATTTATTCGATTGTTACTGCTTCTCTCTTTCTCTTCGATTTACATTGTTGTTGCTGTGGTGCTGGTGCTGAGCTGCAGAGAATATAACGGTAGAAGCAAGGAAAGATGGATCCAGAGAGGTTTTCCTTTTCGAAGAAGCCCATAAGCTTATCCAAGAGAAGGTCTGTGATATCTGCGATCATGCCCGATTCGTCTGGCGGGTCGCAGAACTCCAAAGAGTCGGCGAGATGCGATAAGACGAGGACGTTCAGCTGCTCGAACGGGAAGGAGGTGCTGGAGGAGGTTGGGTCGGATGACCCTCTGCTGGACTATGACGAGCAGATTAGAGCCCCCAAGTTCCTCTCTAAGAAGTCGCTTGACGATATTGGAACGTCTATAGATTTGGCAAGGGGCACTGACAGTACCAATTCCGGGCCTATTGTCGCTGACGGGCCGTTAGACGAGAAGGTGTCGTCTAAGATGAGGTCGGCGTCTTCCGGAGAGATCAAGAGGGTGAGGAGCTACCAACCGGCAGTTGTGGAGATTCCGTCGAGTGACGATTTGGGGTTTGATGAGCAGCCGTCAACGTCGTGCTGTATGAATTATACGCTCTCACAGATTACTGCATCCCACCTGATTTCGAATATTCAGCAAGTGAGGGACGATGACGTCTCCGAGACGGGATCACCAGAACTGTGCTCGAAGAAGAACTCTGAAGACTCCATTGTTATGATGTCAAGGAAAGCACCGCATTTTAACACTGCGCCTTTAAGACCGATGTCTGATCCAAGGACGCCGAATTATGTACCCTGTGTGCTGAGGCCTATTGTAAGCACAGGGGAAGAGCTATTACCAAAGAGCTCGATATTCGATTCCTCGATGGAGACACACTATGGTGACTTGTCGAGGGGCCATTGGAAGCCAAATGGATTTTCAAACTCTTGTATGGATTGTCACAAGCAGTTCTCGCTCATGAATAGAAGACACCACTGCAGGAAATGTGGGAATCTTTTCTGTGCCTCGTGCCTGCTGAACAAGGCCAAGTTGAATTTCCAATGCCAATTCGACGTGAATGGCATCCTGGGGAAGGTGTGTTTCCAGTGTGGTAAACAGTGGAGTAACTACCTCTGTGAAAGTTTCAAGATGGATGTGGATGTCATATCCGATTTCAAAGCCTCGCACATGGAGAAGAAACATTCAGGTAACTCTGTGCTGAGTAAAGAGCTATCGAAAGATGAGCAGGTGCTGGGCGTTGAAGTTAACAGCAACGTTCCAGCTGATTGGAGTTGGAGTTCCTTTTAAGTGAAGGGCTCCTTTGTTAGGAGAATGGTTCCAGGCTGGTCACTGGAGTCTCCTTTGCATTCGTTATATGGTTTATTATTTTGTATATGTTTATATATAATATATCCATAGATTCCTGTGATAGGACAGGACATATACTTACCCATAATTATGTTCGCAATTATGTGATGTAATAATTATAATTATAATTATAATTATAACAATATATACTTTCTGTTCCCCGAAAAGTCCACAAAGTCCGAAATAAACACCCCGGCTTCCAAGCATGTCCATCGGGACATATCGCTTTCGAGGTGTGATACCAAGAAGACGAAGATTACCAGTGGTGTACTTCATATATTACATACATGAAAAGTAAGAAATTTTCCACACTCGTTGCTTCGTTTCTTTCTTCCCTTTCTTCCTCTTCTAGGATATAAAAAGCATAAAGACTTGGTAGGAAGTTACACCTAATCGAGTCTTTTCAACCCACTTGGTTCGTTAGTTACAATCAACAAAAATGCTTTCTAAGATTCTTTTTGCCTTGGCTTTACCACTTTTGGGACTATGTCAGTCTAAGGTCTTTGATTCCATCGTGGTATCACCGATAGATTACGCTGAGTATTCTTCAATTATCGATCTACAACGTTTGTACTACACAAACGATGGTGATGTTTTCTTCTACGATAAAGACTGGGAAGGTACTACTTTGGCCACTGCTGCTTCAAACGTCCAAGTTCTCAGCAGTGGTCAGCTCTTCATCAACAACACCAATGCGACTGCTTATTTGTACGTCAGCGACATTGGCTTACTACAATCTACATCGAGTCAGACTTCAATCGATGGCTTATTCTCTATCAACAGCTCCACTATCTATTACGGCTACTCTTATCCTTTCATCGCTTGTGAGATGAGTACAAGTCAGTACCATTTGATCTGGAGGGGAGATGGTTCAGAGTGTAGTGCTGACAATTGGTTGGTTGTTAGCTTATCAGTTTTCAGTTCCGATGGTACTAGTGGTTATGACTACTTCCCTGACAACTACCAGTCTTCTATAGGTGCAACTGCCTACCAAGATATCTACACAACCACAGTTGGAGTTCCAACTGCCGGTACTACAACTGTCACCTCAACAAGTGCTAATGAAGCTGGCCCTGGTGCTGCCTCCCCTGATAAGCTGTCATTGGGAGCAGGTGCCTTATTCGGTGCTGTTTTGATGCTCTTGTAATCATTCATTCTGCTCTCTTTCTGCGCCTGTATTTGACTTCTGTGTATCACTCACTAATTGAACTCTTTTCATGGACGAGGAAGTGTAGATACTGTACTTTGATCATTCAGACTGGTCTGGCTTTTCATGCAGGGGATTTACACTCTGGAGACGTTGACATATTTGTCTTGGGGAGCAATGCATCTCTCTTCATCAGTTTGTGTGGTTGTACTGCCAGTATTTGTTCAATTGACGTTGTAGGTAGATCATGAGGTACTCCCGAGATCCTATGAGTCCTAAGTATAAGTAGAGACCTTTTTAATCACATCTGGCCTTCTTTTAGTACAACTTGTTAGTTCTGTCCATCATGGTCACCAGCGTATTCCAGTATAATGTTACAGTTGACTCGTTCAACCCGATAATATTTGAGGGTCCACACAATTCGCAGGGGCATTTCAATTCAGCTCCTATAATTGAAAGTGGGCTTGTGAGTCCGTTGTAGACCGTTAAAGGGTCCTTCCCATGCAATTAAAGTACACCAAACCCTCTCTTTTACTGCTGCATGTAGTTTCAGAGAGGCATTGTCATGATTATTGGTCTTTGCAACGCAAAGGAAATCAGTATATACACCCAGATGTGCAAATACACTGCTCAGGTCCCGGCCCTACACTCTTAGCTATCTTCAGTACGAATACAGCCTGCACTTCTGGCCCACCTGTATCCCCACCTGTATCACTGTCGCATAATTCCAAACGCACACCACATCGTGCCAGTTATCAGTGCTAAAACGTCTAAAAAATATGTGCTAACACATACTTACACTTCTGAGACATCACATTGACCTTCAGAATGGTACGAAACCTAGTATTTAACCAACACATAGTCTTAATTGAAGCCCATTGCAACTGAATAGACGACTCCATAGGCTGAGCCAATCAACCATCCGCTGCTTACGTAAGCACGCCGTGGCAGAGCGCGCCCACGCCCTTGAAGCCCTTACACGGGGCTTCATAACCATACACCCTCCTCCCGGTGGAGGAGTCGGTGGACAGCGTAGAGATCACCGCAAAATCCAGCCAATTGCAATAGCCTCAGCGACCCAGAGCTGGCAATTGACATATACAACCACTCAGCTACGGCACAGCTCCTTCCCAACAGCTCCTCCCCAACAGCTCTCCTCCCGCAACACCATCACCAATTTGCATCAGCTCGTGCCATTGCCTTGTTAGCACCGGGGATTTGTGGGTGCAGAGGAAACGTTGACGCCGGATTTAACCGGATCACCGTGCCCACAAACTCCAGCAGGGGAGCCACAAGGGAAGCCAGGACATATATCAACAGCGCTTGGTTGGCTAGACATTATCGTGCGGAGCCATCCATACTGATACAGTGGAGAGTGGAGCATCTTATCTATGGCGAAGAAGAAGAAACAGCAAAGGAACAAGGGAGCGAAGAAGGCTGAGCCGGCGGCGGTGGCAGCGGTGCCAGCCGATGAGGAAGGTGTCAGTGGTGATGTTGATGCTGGTGTTGATGTTGATGCTGGTGTTGATGTTGATGCTGGTGTTGATGTTGATGCTGGTGTTGACGCTGATGCTGACGCTGATGCTGACGCTGATGCTGACGCTGATGCTGACGCTGATGCTGACGCCAATGCTGATGCTGGTGCTGGTGCTGACGCCAATGATGACGCCAATGCTGACGCCAATGCTGAGGCCTCGACAGTGGAAGAAGTGACTACAGAGCCTGGCGAAGGGAATGTCGAGCTGGTGCCCGAGACGACGGAACAGGAAGAGGCCTCTGTGAACCGTGATGGTGAAGATGAGTATGGCCTGAAGGATGACGTACACGTGAAGGAAGAGACCGTTAACGGTACAAGTGAACTCGACGAGGAGAAACACGATGACAGAGAGGTTACGCTTGAGATAGCGGAGGCTGAAGAGGATGCTCAAGATGACCGTGTTCAAGAACCAGAACCGGGTGAAGACGTCGAGGAAGAAGACGTAGTAGTGGAAGAGGAGCAAGAAGAAGCTAACGACGAGCCACAGCATCATGATGAAGTCATTGAGATAAAGGAAGAGCCTCAAGAGGTTGAAGACACCACAGCGAACTCCCAAACTCCAAGCACAGGGCCAAATAAACTGATATCTTCTACACATGGGCCCTTTACTCTCTCAAGAATCCGTTTGGAACTACCACAGCTGGGATCACCTTCTTCCATCACACACCATGGTAATAATGTCATAGTGGGCACATCTCAAGGCTATCTGTTGCTCTATACAGTGGCTCCAGGCTCTAGACAGGAGTTCATCTTGGTATCCCAAGTCCAGTTTCATCAAACTAGAAATTTCCCCATAACAAAGATGACCCCTTTACCAAGTTTGAATATACTTTTGGTATTATCAGGTCATCTATTACAGTGCTTTGCACTCGATGATCTCAGCACCCTTTCAATTGGAAGGATTAAAGACGTTTTGGACATGGCATTAGATTGGGATCATAGGGCTAAGTGTGATGAGAATGGAGTTCACGTGTGTATTCTAACCAAGCAGCAGATAAGGATTGTGAACGTGACAAAACAGGCACTAAGGCTGGTTAAAGATATTAAAGCCATAGCGAACGTTGTTGGTAGAAGAGGTGATAAGTTGATGATCGCACAAAATGAATACATGATCATTAACATGGCAAAGGAGTTGAATAATCAAAACTCATTATTCCCCGTTAATACTTCGGGAATCGAGGATCATGAATTGAAGCCTTTTATCCAGGATGTTGGGAATGATGAGTTCTTATTGGTCTGTGGGACGGCAAAGTCTGATCCTGCGATGGGAATGATAGTCAACACTAAAGGTGATGTATCAAGAGGTACCATACCTATGCTACAGTACCCTGACGAGGTTATCGTTCATAATGAAGGTGCATTTATATCGGTTGGTAATGAAATTGAATTGTATTCATTGGTGGACCAGATGCAAATACAATCTTGGAAGTTCGAACATCGGGTGCATATATCAAAGTTGGAGTATGAGCTTGAAGTTCCAGCAACTTCTTTAAGAGATCTGATAGTCTTGAAAAGTATATCTGGGGGACAGGGCGAGAGGGATTCCAAAGAGCTAGAGTTTGCCACGAGAGTTGCACAAGTTGGCTCACAAGTACTATTCTATTGTGATGATCTTATTTATTTACTTGTTCCACAAGCAAGGCTGGAGAAGTTGTGCCATTTGAGAGATGTGAAGTTGTTGGAGAAAGAGCTATCCAGAAGTAAAGCTACAACAGAATTGACGGTTATTGAGGTGGAATTCTTGAATTTACAGATATCCTTATTGCGATTATTGACACACCACTACAACTCTGCTTTAGAGTCATGGACCAATGGTACTCTGGATCCCAGAATTCTCATTGAAGCCTTTAACTTTCACTCTGTTGGTGAGGTATACATATTTGCAGGTTTGCACGAGCTGTTTGAACAGCTTCATACGATGATTAAAGAGACTGCACTGCTCACCTTTTTCGAATTGTTCTTAGAGAAATGGCTCTCCAAGGATTCCCTTGATGACCATGATGTTATTGAGTCCGTAGAACGAACAGCACTGGACTATCACTTGAAGTATAAGACTAATCAATTGAAGGATATCTTAACAAGGATCAAACACATCGACGTTGCTCCCATATTAGAACAAGAGAGGGAATTCTTAGCACTGGCGAGACTATACAATGATAGAGAACCAGAGAGGGCCGTGACGATTCATAAAAGACTTGTTGATGGTGAAATTACAGACCAACAGTTTGAAAAGCAGGAGTCATTACACATCATTTGTGAGTTAGCGAAGCCTTGCTCAGAAGAGTTTAGAAAAGACACTGGGCTCTGGCTGTTGAAACATGATGCTAAGCTTGCAATTAGCTTCTTAAACTCTGCAAAGATCTCTTTGAACTCTCTGGATACTGGTATGTCCAAAGAAGAGGAACTGAGACACGTTATGGATAGCATCGACGACATTGGATTGAAGTATGAATACGTTGCACAGATGTTTGTTGGGCTCAGAAGAGAGAAAATGGCACTGAATCTACAAAAGGGACTATACAGAAGTTTGTTGGTGAGGTTACGAGATGCCAATACTAAGATGGAGAGTGCTACTGTTGAACAAGCCTAAACAACTCTGGTGTATTGATCTATGTCTAATTTGTATGAAATCCTTCGTTTTTCACTTCTTCTGCCATCTGGTGTGCAATTTCGGGATCCAGGTATTCCTCTTTACCTACACAGCGTAGTTCGTCGTCAACTCTGACCATCATTGGTATACCATTTGGGATGTTGACTTCTTTTATCTGCTCCGCAGACAATCCTTTAATAATCTTCAGAATTGCACGTACTGAGCTTCCATGTGCCACCACCAACACAGTCTTGTTCAATCTTAGCTGCTCAAGTATCTGAGAGCGCAAGTAGGGCTCCAATCTGTCCTCCACCATATGAAGACTCTCACCACGAGGTAGATGTTCATCTAGTACAAAATTGTATCTCTGGTCAATGCATGCATCATCTCCTTCAACCAATGGTGGAACACCATCATACGCACGGCGAACAAACATGTATTTTTCCTTACCCATCTCTTCCAGCACTTCACTCTTCACTCTTCCTTGTAGTGCACCATAGTGACGCTCGTTCAACCTCCACGTCTTGGTCACGTCGATCCATTCTCTGCGTAAAGTCTCGGTGATAATCTTAGCAGTTTGACAAGTTCTCGTCAATTTGGAAGTGAAGATCACGTCAGGGACCAGGTTGTACTGTTCTATCAACTCTGCGGCCTCCTTCGCCTGATCCTGTCCCTTGGTAGACAGTGGAGCATCGATCCAACCACAGAATGTTGATGCGTTGTTCAACTGCGACTGTCCGTGACGCATAAGAACCAGTGTATGTGACATGCTTTCCCTATTCCAATTTACTCTTTAACCAATTGGAGTGGATAGGAAAGAAGACGTGGAGGAAAGATGTGTGGGCCATATATAGATAGACCGCAAGGACCATCAAGTGATGATGGTGATCACACCCGGACACCTATTCACCCGGACACCAGGCACTCTACCATCGGGAGGAATGCTTAAACGAACAAATGCACTTTATGTATATTTAAGTCCCATTATATAATGCTGTGCAACCATATGGTTGGGTATAGAGCCCCGTAGTAATAGCAATTGGTCCATAGGAAAGAGAATACGCTATCAGTTCAATGGTTTTCTAACGACAAAGAGTTGCATTGGGGTGAACAGCTTTTGTCTTCCACCTTCAACCAAACCGACAGCAGCTTCTTCCAGTGCCAACGTGACCTTTTGAGAGCCCTTTGGTGCGATTCCAACTGTTTCCATTAGGCCAACCATTGCAGTGGTGAATTTTCTACCGAGAGATGAGGTTCTAACAAAAGTTGCCAAATCATAAAGGGATTGAACGTATTTCCATTCACCAGTGAGTGGATAATACCATGGGATTGCATCTCCCATGTCAGCCAAGTCCTGCTCGAACTCGATTTCAAAACCAACGTTCTTCAATGCATTTCTTGCAACGGTGATGTCGTACATCTTTGGAATACCATCACCGATTTCGATCTCATAGGCAATCTTTCTGTGCTCTGGGTTTGATTCGTCGTACTTGTCGGTCATAACCCATTCGTAGACACCAAAGACACCACCTGGTTTCAAAACCTTATAGATTTCTGAATAGACTCCTTCCAATACTGGGGCATGGACGGTGGCTTCAATGGCATAGACTGCGTCAAAGGACTCAGGCTCAAAATCCATCTTCATGAAGTCACCCTTGACAAAGTTCATCTGCTTCTCCAAGCCGAACTTCTTGGCATAGTAGAAGGCCTTTTCGATTTGATAATCGTTATTGTTCAAACCTGTGATATGAGCACCAGTGAATCTCGCAATTTCACGAGCTGGCCCGCCGACTCCACAGCCAACGTCCAATACTTTCCAGCCTTCTTTGATACCGATCTTAGAAGCCAGGTAGTGTTCATGACGGGCCGTGGCCTGTCTGAATGGCTCCCCAGGGTAGTATCTTGAGAAATGGAACGAGGTACCCCATCCGTACTCGTAGAAATCGGTCACAACGTTGTAGTACGAGTGAGTGGACTGGTTGTAGTCCTCAAGACGCTTCTCCTCGGCATCCTTATCAACTTTACCATCCCAATGCTTCAAGTAGTCTGCAACGGCAACCTCCTGAGCTGCTTTGTTCTTCGACAACAGGGCACTGAGACCCGTCTTTGCACCGGCGTTTTCACCGTGAAGAGCCTGCGAGAACGCCTTCTGGTTCTTTCTGATCTCTTCCGTGGACATCTCCTTGTTGTGTATGCGTAATTCAGTTGTTGAGAACCTCCTTGATTGAGAGAAAAGCGAAAGAGAGACAATGGAAAGGTCTTGTTGGCAAAAAGAAGAAGAAGAAGAAGGGAAATATTTAAACGACGCTATGGCCGACGCGTTTTTTCGAGCTCGTAAACAAAAAAAAAAAAGATGTTAAACGAGGTTATTTGTTTTGGCTTAAACGACGCGATGTTTCCCATACCAATTGGACTGTCCCTACCAGTGTCACTGCCCATACCAACACGACTGTCCCTACCAGTGTCACTGCCCATACCAAAACGACTGTCCCTACCAGAGATGGCCTTTTCCACACAGGCGCCTAATCTACGTCCTCCCGCATTGACACAAAAGGGACAGGGCGATAAGGGGAAAAGCGACGTGTGGCAAAACAGAAACATTGCTCTTCGTTGCAACGGTTCACAAAGGTTGAGGAAACTCAGGAGGAACAAACATAGTGCAAATGACTTTAAGAAGGGTGAAACCATCAAATGGACAGATCGTCATCGGAAGAGGCTCAGCAGTAGATAAGGCACGGTTGGTATCTTCCGATAATTTGCTTTTCAACGTGGGTACGGTGTCTAAGGAGCACGCGATCATCAAGTTGTACAACAGTGAGGCTCGTGAGGGCGAGAGGGTTGAAGCGGCAACGTCGAGGGTCACCATACGTGACAGTGGTAGTCGTCATGGTGTGGTGGTCAACGGCAGGAGGTTAGCACAGGGGTGTGATGTTGATTTGAAGGTGGGTGATTGGATTGGCTTGGTTGCCGCTGGCGGCGACAATGGTGGCGGCAGTGGTGCTTGTCCCGGTGAGCCAATAGATGAGTCTCAGTGCAAGTGTGTGTTTGACTTCTACGGCATTGAGAGTGGAGAGCTGTTGTTCCAGGTGTCGAGACCTGTAGCCGATTTTGGTGAAACAAGGGGTCAGCCGGGAGATGAGGACGACCTTGACTGCACGCTGGTTGATGATGTGGAGGGCACACAGGGCAGAGAGGGCACACAGGATGAAGGAGAAGAGGAGGAGGAGGAAGAAGAGGGGGAGGGAGAAGGGGAGGAAGAAGTAGAGGGCACAGAGCACGGGATCATCATTGTCAACGGAAACCCCAACAAGAGAAAGAGATTGGAGTTTGAAGACGTGTTTGACGATAGTTTTGACGACGGATTCAGCTCCGAAGCAACGAGCGACTCACAGTCTGATGAGTACTCAGAGTCTGAGTACGAGTTACACTTCCACGCAGACGAATCAAAAAGCACCATCGATACAGATGAACACACAGAAAAAAAGCAGAAGCCTAACGAGGACAGTGGAATCCCACTCTACGTCAAGTCTGGATTGATCGGTATGTGCGTCGGTGCCTCTCTAGGCGCAGGGTTGACGTTTTCAGCTTTGCTATCAGTGGGAAGATCCATCAACTGATACGTGACTCACCTTGATTCTTCACTTCAGCAGCGCAATGGGCTCTTGGCCGCTCTTGTTTCATGTTCTGTATCTACTGGCTTTCTTTTGGTTTTGATATATCTGTGGTTTCGAGTTTTAGCATGCTTTTCTACTTTGTAGATGATGTGGGCAATGGTAAGCGATGGTTCCAGGGCTAGGATTAGAGAATGTGGTCGTGATCGCCGGAATCGAGCCCCAAACTTGATCATATGATCACATAGCCACTGACCAGCTTCAGCGAAACAAATAAGACCATTTTAATCGTAAGACCATGTTATTTCCCTCAACGATTACGTTTCGTTGACCACACGGGCGTGAATTGGGGAATTTCAACAAAATTAGCGCCGACTGGAAAATCTTAGCGACGTTGACGCAAAGTTCCGCGGCGCCAATCTGCAACAATAGCGGGTGGTCTTGGAAGTTGGTCCTCGAAGTTGGTCGATGGGGTAGTGACTACTTTTTTTTCCTCATATATAAAACCTGTTTCTTTCCACCTTTTCATCTTCATCTCTCGCTTCTGTCAAGTAACCAGAGAGAAGACTACAGAATGGAATACACAGTTGTTGGTGCCGGTATCATTGGTCTATACACCACGTGGAATTTATTGGAATCAGGCGTGTCGCCAGATAAGATCACTGTCGTTGCAGAGTTCTTGCCAGGTGATCAGAGTATCAAGTATACCTCTCCATGGGCTGGTGGTAACTTCAGTTGTATTACATCCGATGACCCAAACACTCTGATGTACGACGAGCTGACTTACAGAAACTTGCACAAGATCCAAAGGGCCTTGGGTGGTGCGTCTTGTGGGTTGGATAATAAACCAAGCACCGAGTTATGGGACACGTACCCCGGTGACACTAAAGTGGCATCATTGAAGTCTTATTTGAAAGATTTCCAGGTTGTTGATAAGAGTGAATTACCAGAAGGTTGTGCATTTGGTATCAAGTTCACATCATGGAACTTCAACTGTCCTTTCTTTTTGGCCAATTTCCAAAAATACCTGGAAAGCATTGGTGTGAAGTTCTTGAGAAAGACCTTGACACACATCTCACAGGCTTATCTCACTGCAAAGACCAAAGTCGTCTTCAACTGCTCTGGTATTGGTGCACGTACCCTTGGTGGAGTCGAGGATACAAACGTGTATCCAACCAGAGGCCAAGTTGTTGTTGTGAAGGCTCCTCATATTCAAGAGAACAAGATGAGATGGGGTGACGACTACGCCACCTATATCATTCCAAGACCTTACTCAAACGACGAATTGATCTTGGGTGGGTTCTTACAGAAGGATGATTGGACTCCAGATACTTTCAAGGAGCAGACAGAGGACATTATCAAGAGAACTACAGAGCTTCTTCCAAAGATCTTGGATCAACCATTGGTGATTAGTCGTGTGGCATGTGGTTTGAGACCAAGCAGACACGGTGGTGTCCGTATTGAACTACAGAACATCGAAGATGGAAAAGTTGTCATTCACAACTATGGTGCTAGTGGATATGGTTACCAAGCTGGCTATGGAATGGGATTCAGGGCAGTCCAACTCTTGAGAGAATCCAAATCCAAACTGTGATTCTGCTCTGCTCTTGTTATTTATTGTACTATACATATGATCACGAAGAAAGAAAAAGACATATATTCTAAGCATTTAACCAGGAATCGACCTGTGAGGTAGCCACAGTGGAAGCTAATCTCAGACCTTGTCTACCCATGGGGAAGTAGCTCACCGTATACCAAACCATACTGATGAACTGAACGATACAACTGATCAAAGCCAATAGAGTACTCTTCAGCACGATACTGGCGACCAAACTGAAGACGATGCTCAGAGTAAAGCTGATGGTAAACCACATACGGTCAAAGCTAAACAGGTGTCTGAAATAACTGGTGAAGCCTTGTAGTACACCAAATGAGAACAAGAACAGTATTGATCCTAGCGACCACAGCAAGGCGAATTTACGTGGTTTCAAAGCCAATACTGGCAAAAGCATGAAGCTCACAATGTAGCAACTCAGAGAGGCGGCCATTGC